ACATCTCTGATACCTTTTCATTTCCTTGCCTGGATCCTCTCTCCTCCTCATACCTTAAATGCTGGTATCTGTGAGGGACTTGTCCTTCTACCCCCTTACTTTAAATCCTTTTCTTAGGCAATTTCAGTCATACCCATTGTTTTAACTCCCAAGAAAATGCTGGTGACTCCTAAATCCCTATCTCCTGCCAGAGTACTCCTTTGAGCTCCAGATCCACACATCCAACTGTTCACTCAAATCAGAAACTGAGTTGTCACCACTGGCATCTCCTTTTCCATCAATTCTTACATTTCACTGAGTACTCAACCTCCTCCTAATATTTTCCTAACCTATTTTTTTCCAATCCCAAAGATCACCTTTAGGAATCCCCAGAATCTTTAAGTGCATTGGAGGAGAGGAATATACCTTCTCATCAGATTCTCAAAGGGGTCCATCATCCCTAAAAAGTCAAGAAGCATTGCTAATCTCTCCCCTCCAATCCCTCTTCTATACTGTCAGAATGGTCCACCTAAAATGCAAATGTAATATTACCCTGCTTAAAATCCGTTAATGGCCTTCAGAATACAGTGTGAGCACCCTATAAGGTACTTCCTATGTATGAGTAACCTTCTTCCCTCTCCAGCCTTATTTGTTGGTGTTCTCCTCAAAACCATGGCAGATAATGCCACCTGCCATCACTACTATCCCCACCCCATGTCTCCGCATGCACTGTTCTCTCTGCCTCGAAGGTGCATCCTTTTTAGCCTGCCAGGCATCTTCAACTCATCCTTAAGAACCAATTCAAAGTCAGTTACCTTGTGACATTTCCCAGACACCAGCCTGCTCTCAGGTAGAGTCATCAGTACCTATATCAGCGCTGTCTACATCCTTTGTATTGCTACCTTTGCAATTATTACTCTATACTGTGATTCTTTGTTCACAGGCCTGTCTCTTTATTTGACTGGGATCACTGCTGAGGGGCTGGACGATGTACATTCATTTATATAATCCCAGCATCTAGCACAGTGCCTGACACTCAATAAATGCATACTGAATTATAAATAAATGAAACTAATAAACAATTACAACTGTAGAGCACTTTATAATTCACACATTTAATTTTTTTTTTTTTCCTTTTTGTCTTTTTTCGTGACCGGCAATGGATCACAACCCTCAGTGTTGCGCCCGTACCGGACTGGGACCGGCAACAGGATCGCAACCCTTGGTGTCGCGCCCGCACCTCGCTCAGCCAGTGAGCCACCGGTCTGTATGTGGGATCCGAACCCTCGGCGGGAGCGCCGCTGCGCTCCCAAGCGGCGCACTGTAGCAGTGCGCCACCGGGCCGGCCCCACACATTTAATATTTTACCTTTTGATTTTCTCACAACAATACTGATAAGGTAGACAAGGGATATATTACTGGGGGTTAGGGAGGTCTTGCCAAGGTCATAAACTACAATTCACCATTTTCCTTCAGTACTAAGTGCAGACCAAGGCCCACAATAATATCTATTAGAAATTTAGTGAACTTCATGGTCTTTGGCACCGCTTCTATGCTCCAACAGTGAAGAATTGTCCAAATTTCCTGAGCTTGTGACTTTCCTGTGAATTTGCCTGGATACACCCTGGGCAAGGGGCTTGCACCTCTTGTTCTACTCTACCTTTGTCACACATCCCCACAAGTCAGGTAACTTCCCATTAAAAAATTAATCCAATCCAAAGAAAAGAGGACCAAAAGATTCTTTTATTTCTGTCTACTTCATCAATGAGAATGACTCAGAGTTGGGTGCAGTGCCTTGCATACAGCAGGCTGTCAATGAACATTGGTTGAATGGGTAAAAGAATGAGGTATCCTTAAATGGAAAAAGGAAAGAAAAACATGATTAAAAAGGAGCTAAAGGCTTAGGCTAGTAGGGAGAGAAAAGATCCCTAAGGTGATTCTAAAGGATAGTAACTATTTAGTTTCTAAAGTCAGAAAGCAGAGCACACAAAATTGAAGAGCAGAGCACATACGAACAGATAGCCCCTGGAAAAAAGATGACCTGCCAGAAAACTGTTGCAGAGAAAGGAATTCTGGAATTTTTAAAAAAGGTGGAAAAAGATGTCTTGCAAACCCTGACAGTGAGTTTATCCTGACAAAATTCTAGAATGTATTTTTATTTTAATGGTTCTAAAACTTTTAGGTAATCACTGGGTACCAGTATGGGTTCCTGAAGAACAAGACATCAACATGCCAGAATAACCTGAACTCCTTTTTTTTTTTTTTTTTTTTTTTTTTCCGGTAAGGGGATTGCAACCCTTGGCTTGGTGTCGCCCGCACCGCGCTCAGCCAGTGAGTGCACCGGCCATCACTTATATAGGATCCGAACCCGTGGCGGGAGCGCTGCTGCGCAACCAAGCGCCGCACTCTCCCGAGTGCGCCACAGGGCCGGCCCCTGAACTCCTTTTGTTGAATGGGTTATTGGGCAAGAGAATAAGACAAATGCTAGCACATTTATATTTTAGCAAGAAATCAGAAAATCTCTTATAATTTTGTGAACAAAATAGAGGATAAAAAAGAATGAAGTTTGATGAATTTATAGCTATGAATGTTGAATAGTGCATCAAAACTGTCCTGATCATGTGCTCCAGGACTCTGTTTTATAAACATTTTAATCAAAGAAAATACATGATGGCAGAGATCTTGTCTATCTAACTAACTAGTGTCTAAAACAGTACTTGGTACGTACATATATGACCAGTAAATACTTTTGAATAAGTGAGTCCATAGAAAGCCTACTTATTAAATTTTCAAATCACACAAAATAAGAAGAGAAAGTTAATATTTTTATTTTTATTTCATGAGGGATATAATAGCTTTTTCCAATATTTTTGTTGTTTATCTATCTACTTACCTACCTAGAATGTAGGCTGGCTGGCATAAGAGTTAAAAAGAATTCAGAAGCTGACAAAAAAAAAGGAAAGAAAGAAAAGAAATTATGTAGAACAGGGTTGGCAAATTATAGCCCAGGGGCCAAATCCAGCCTGCTGCATATATCTGTAAGAAAAGTTTTACTGAAACACATCATATCCATGCCCTTCATTTGTGTACTGTCTGTGAGTGCTTCTGCACTACAATAGCCAATCTGAGTAGTCAGCCACAACCAAGACTGACTGGCCCATAAAACTTAAAATGATTACTGTCTGGCTCTTTCCAGAAAGTTTGCTGATCACTGATCTAGCATGTTGAATATGAGCACCAACCAGAGAGAACCATTAGAACACAAAGCTACAAAATTTGAATGCAGGCGGTGGAGACTGTTCTGACAGCAGAAGTTGGACTGGATGGCTCTGAGATTCTGTGAAATCATCAATGTTTACTGAGCCCTGCTAGAATCCTGAGAGCAGAGGAGAAGTCACTCAAAAGAATCCCCTCCCACCTACCTGGCTCTGTCTTCTCAGCAAATGCTCCTCTTTGCTTTTTGGTGAGAGCACCTGAACAGAAGAGAGAGCTGAGGGTTGCAATGCTATGTTTGCGTGAGAAGAGGACAGCACATAAGCTGAGTCCCCACGTGTCAGGCTGCAAAGTTTGGTACTCAAGAAATTCTCCTCTATTTGAAACATAAAGTGAACATAATTCCTCTGGCTCAGTGGGAACTCCAAGGAGGCACAGGTCATGGCCTGCACATGGAACTGTCAGCTGAGGAGGAGAGAAAAGACATATGGGCAGATGAGAGTTCAAATAACCATAGAAGAGGCCAAGATTTAGAGAACATTCAAAAGAGCAGCTGAGGGCAGGTTGCAATTATTGCCAAGGACAGGGAAGCCTTGGTGGATGATCTAGCCTCAGCAATGGAGCCTTGATAGAAAGACCAGGCATAGAGGGTAGAAAAGCAGGGGTTGGGCAACTTCGCCCTTCTTGGGAGCAGCAAAGCCCTCATACTCTTGGTCACTCCTCTTGTGCCACTGATTTGAGAAACCTCCTCTCTGAAGCAGAAATAACACCTTTGCTCTGGGCTACCACACATCCATGTCAGTCTGGCAGCCTCACTGATAGCTCTGAGGGCTGAACACATTGCTCCCCTTGGCTGAATCTCCCCCGGGGTCAATCTTCTGATCCTCCAGCAGTCAGCAAGGCTGTCTGTCCTTCTGGCATCATTTCCAACCCTGCTCAGCTGCCCTGCTGCTAGAAATGTCAGAAGAATCTGAGCCTCTGTGAACAATCCAAGACAAGGGGCAGGCAGTACAGACAGTTTAAACAAGCAAAAGCTCAAATGTGAAATATTCATTTCTATTTGCAGCCAAAGTAACCTGCTGCCTTAACCCCACTTTGCAAGAACTACTCACCAGAAGCAACACGAATTGTCTTGCCCAGGTACCCTCCAACAGACACGTGACACCACCTCTTTCTTCTGAAGTGCAAACAACCACCACACAACATCCCAGTGGAAGCACTGATAATGACCCTGCTTCACAAGCACAGACATCAAGGCACAGAGAAGGTCCACTGTTTGTCCTGGATCATATAGTAAGCTGAGGCCAGTCCCAGAGAAAGGATTGTATGTTACATATAGGAAAGGAAAAGAGACCTTGGAGGTTGAGGAAACCAGTGAGGCTGTTTTCTAGTTCTGTGGCAGGGACGGGGCAGGGTAAGTCTCCAGGAAGTAGAAGAGGAACAAATCCACATTCCATGCAGTTGCTTTAATTATTTTATTGAAACCTGCTCCATTGTCCACTCATCTGAGGCTCCATGGGCTGAGGCACTTTTAGGAGAACAGAGGTGAAATGAACCCCTCCTCCCCTCATTTAGGTCATGAAATCAGGCCTCTATTTCTTTCCCCAAGACTTCTGAAGTAACATAAACTATAGAGCCACAGGGACTGTGAAGAGCATCTGTTCCAAGTCCTTTGGGTTATCCATGAGTTCCCAGAGATAAGGGACTTGCAGGTTCTCACTGAATTGCTAGCAGAGCTGGCACAGAACAAGGCAGTGTGGAAGCCACAGGAGGGGAGCTCTCAGAGCAGCAGGGCAGCCCATGCTTACCTTCCAAAGAATGGATTCCCTGCTCCTTGGCGGTCTTATAAACACTACTGAAATCATCTCCAAGGTTTGGGTCAGCCCCAGCAGCAAGGAGGACCTGCACCACACTGGAAGAAATCAGAAGGACAGAAGTGTCAAAAGAAGGAGAGGCCCAGGAGGTAGAGACCCAGATCCAGAAGTGTGTTTGGGGACTGGGTCTGTCTCTGCCCATGTGAGTGATACAGTGGAAAGAACATGAACTCTGAGAGTACAAAATACAAATGTAAGAAAGCAGGCTTGGAAACTTATCAGCTGAGAAGCCTGGGAAAAGCCACTTAACAGCTTTCTAAAGCCCAGTTTCCACAACTATAAAATACAAATTGTTTATTCAGCAATTACTTATGAAATGCCTTCCAAGTTCTGGTCACTGTTCTAGGTGCTGAGGTCTTTGCTCTCAAGACAGTCTGCTGGAAAGGATAACAATTAAGCATAAAATTACAGCAAAGTGTGATAAAAGTTATGATGGGAGAAATACCATGCGCAGTAGGCGAACACGGGAGGGGATCAATAAAGGCCGCCAAGCAGAATGACAGCAACAAGGCAGAACAATAGGAATTTCAAGTGCTTCTCCCCCACTGAAGCATCAATTTTAACTATCCACATATGAAACTTCCTTCATAAGAGCTAAGGAAACCAGGTGAGAGATTTTAGCACCTGGACATAGCACAGAAATAAAGAAAAGACACACTGAAGAGGGTAGGAAGGACAGTTTTATATTACCCACATCAGCCCTCCCCCAACTCCAGGCAGTACAGTGTGGAGAGACATACCCTCCATGTGGGGGAAGGAGAAGGAAGTAAGCACTGGTCTTTGTCTTGGACTCAAAACCACGTCTGTCTCAGTAAAACCCAGTGGTGGGCAGGCCCCCCAGCCCCAGAATCCAGGCTGGTACTTGTGGACTGAACTTCCAGACCCCACCTAGGCTCCAGGTCTGCTAGGCAGACGTAGTCTCTGGGCCTGCTCCACAGCTAGGCCAACCTTAGTGACCCCAGACTCTGGGCTGGCTCCAGTGCCAGGCCAGCCCCCACAGACTTGGGGTCCAGGTCCACCCCGCAGACTCAATCTCCAGACCCAGGCTGGCCCCAGTGGCCTAGGGCTCTGGATGTCCCCAGCACTGGGTTAAGGGCAAAACTATTAAAAATAATAATAGCTACAATAATTAGTTAAGGGACACAAAAGAAAAAGATGTAAATTGTGACATCAAAAACACAAAATGGAGTGTGTATGTGGAATGAAAGTATAGTTTTTGTATGTGATCAAAGTTAGGTTATTCTCAGCTTAAAATAGCCTGTTATAACTATGAGATGTTTTATGTAAGCCTCATGGAAACCACAAAGCAAAAACCTATAGTAGATACACAAAAAACAAAAACTAAGAAATCAAAACATACCACTAAAGAAAATCACCTAATCACAAATGAAGACAGCAAGAGAGAAACAAAGAATCTACAAAACAACCAGAAAACAACAAATTGGCAGTAGTAAGTCCTTACCCCTCAGGAATTACCTTGAATGTAAATGGGTTAAATTCTCCAATCGAAAGACATAGAGTGACTGAATGGATTTAAAAAAAAAAAAAAAAGAAAAGAAAAGACCCAACTATATGCTGCCTGTAATAGAAACACTTCACCCGTAAGAACTCACATAGACTAAAAGTAAAGGGATGGAAAAAAGATATTCCATGCAAATGGAAACAAAAGGAAAGCAGGAGATAAAGCAGGAGATACTTAGATCAAATAGACACAGGTCAAAAACTGTAAAAGGAGATAAAGAAGGTCATTATATATGAAAAAGGGATCAATTCATCAAGAGGATATAACAATTGTAAATACAGAATATACTCATGTATGCCCCCAACATCAGAGCACCTAAACATATAAAACAACTATAACAGATGTGAAGAGAGAGGTAGACTGTAATACAATAACAATAGGCGACTTCAATTCCTCACTTTCAGTAACAGATAACCTAGAGAGAAAATCAATAAGGAAACATTTAAAGATGAACTAACACCATTGCTTCTCAAACTCTTCCAAAAAATTTAAGCAAAAATTCCAAACTCATTTTATGAGGCTAGCATTATCCTGCCATCAAAGTCAAACAAGAACACAACACGAAAAAAAAAAAAGGAAAAAAATTACAGGCCATTATCCCTGATGAACATAGATGCAAAAATCCTCAACAAAATACTAGTAAACTGAATTCAATAGCACATTAAAAAGATTATTCACCATGATCAAGTGGGATTTATCCCAGGGATACAAGAATGGTTCAACATATATAAATCTATAAATGTGATATACCACTTTAACAGAATAAAGGAAAAAACCCATATGGTCATCTGAACAGATGAAGGAAAAGCATTTGACAAAATTCAAAATCCTTTCACAATAAAAACTCTCAACAAATTAGGTATGGAAGGAATGTACCTCAACACAATAAAGTCCATAAATGACAAACCCACAGCTAACATCATACTAAGGTGAAAAGTTGAAAACTTTTCCTCTAAGATCAGGAACAAGACAAGGGTGCCCACTCTCACCACTTCTATTCAACAAAGTACTGGAAGTCCTAGCCAGAACAATTACGCAAGAGAAAGAAATAAAAGGTATCCAAATTGGAAAGAAAGAAGTTAACTGTCCCTGTTTTCAAACATTATGATCTAATATATAGAAAACCCTAAAGACTCCACAAAAAAACCCACAACCTGTTAGAACTCATAAAAAAATTTGATAAAGTTACAGGATTCAAAATCAATATACAAATATCAGCAGTATTTCAATACAGTAACAACCAACAATCTGAAAAAGAAATGAAGAAAATGATCCTACTTACATAGCTACAAATGAAAAACCAAAATTCTTAGGAACAAATTTAACCGAGGAAGTGAAAGATCCGTATGCTGAAAAGTATAAAACATTGATGAAATAAATTGAAGATAACACAAATAAGTGGAAATATCCAGTATTCATGGATTGGAACAATATATATTGTTAAAATGTCCACACTACGTAAAGTGATCTACAGATTCAATGCAATCTCTGTCAAAATTCTAATAACACTTTCCACAGAAACAGAAAAACAATCCTGAAATTTTCATGGAATCACAAAATACCCCAAAGAGCCAAAGCAATCTTGAGCAAAAAGAACGAAGCTGGAGGCATCACACTATCTGACTTCAAACTATACTACAAAGCTATAGTAATGAAAACAACATGTTACTGGCACAAAAGTAAACACAGAGACCAATGGAGCAGAAGAGAGAGCACAGAAATAAATCTATACAATTATGGTCAAGTGATTTTTTACAAAGACACCAAAAACACACAATGGGAAAAGGAAAGTCTCTTCAATAAATGGTGCTGGGAGGGGCCGGCCCGGTGGCGCACTGCTACAGTGCGCTGCTTGGGAGCACGGCGGCGCTCCCGCCGAGGGTTCAGATCCCACATACAGACCGGTTCCTGCTCACTGGCTGAGCGAGGTGCAGGCGCAACACCGAGGGTTGTGATCCCGTTGCCAGTCCCGGTCTGGTATGGGCGCGACACTGAGGGTTGCGATCCGTTGCCGGACACGAAAAAAGACAAAAAATAAAAAAAAATAAATGGTGCTGGGAAAACTGAGTGTCCACATGCAGAATGAAATTAGACCCTCATATTTCACACCATAAACAAAAATCAACTCAAAATGGATTAAAGACTTAAGCATGACATCTGAAACTATGAAACTACTAGAAGAAAACATAGGGAAAAAGCTCCATGACATTGGTTTGGGCAATGACTTTTTGAATATGTCCACAAAAGCAAAGGCAACGAAAGCAAAAACAGACAAATGGAATTACATCAAACTAAAAGGTTTCTGCAGAGCAAAGAAAACAATCAACAGAGTGAAAAGAAAACCCTATGAAATGGAAGAAAATATGAGTGTTTGCAAACCACACATCTCATAAGGGGTTAATATCCAAACTGTATAAGAAAGTCAAATAGCTCAATACAAAAAAAATAAATAACTTGATTAAAAAATGAGCAAAAGACCTGAATAGACATTTCTCAAAAGATGACATACAAATGGCCAACAGATATATGAAAAAATGCTCAACATCACTAATCATCAGGGAAATCCAAATTAAAACCATAATGAGATATCACCTCATACCTGTTAGAATGGCTGTTAACAAAAAGACAAAATATAACAAGTGTTAGTGAGGTTGTGGAGAAAAAGGGACCCTTGCACAGTGTGGGTGGGAATGTAAATTAGTAAGGCACTACGGAAAACAGTATGGAGATTCCTCCAAAAATTATAAATAAAACTACAATATGATCCAGTAATACCACTACTGTGTATATATCTTAAGGAAATAAAATCAGTATGTCGAAGAGATATCTGCACCCCCATGTTCACTACAGCACTATTCACAATAGCCGAGATATAGAATCAACCTAGTGTCCATCAACAGATGAATGGATAAAGAAATTATGGTATATATACACAATGGAATACTATTCCATCTTAAAAAAAGAAGGAAATCCTGTCATTTGTGGATGAACCTGGAGGACATTATGCTAAGTGAAATAAGCCTGGCACAGAAAGGCATAGATAGTAAGCTTTCAAATACATTATCTAATTATTGTAAATATTAAAAAGCCAAACTATAGGGGCCGGCCCGGTGGCGCACTGCTATAGTGCGCCGCTTGGGAAGTGCGGCGGCGCTCCCGCTGAGGGTTCGGATCCCACATACAGACCGGTTCCCGCTCACTGGCTGAGCGAGGCGCAGGAGCAGCACCGAGGGTTGCGATCCCGTTGCCGGTCCCGGTCCGGTACGGGGGCAACACTGAGGGTTGCGATCCGTTGCCGGACACGGAAAAAGACAAAAAAAAAAAAAAAAAAAAAAAAAAAAAAAAAAAAAAAAAAAGCCAAACTATAATTTCAGTTCCTCTTTTTTGTTAGTTTTTTAGTTTTTGTAACTAGTAGTGTTGATGGTTTTCCATATACCATCAGGTTTGAATATCATTGCCTTCAACAGGCACAGTATCTGGCTAAATTATTTGCTAAGTGGACAAATGATTTTCAAT